GAGTCACAAGAGCGACGTTAGACAGTAAAGCGCAAGGAAATACGCTGCTAAGCAGATTGGTGATGTCCGACCGGGTGGTCCAGCGATGCAGACTGGTGAGGTGTGGGCCTGCAAGCCAGCAGCGCAAAAGCGACCGCGATGATGGGTGAAGTAGGACCAACGGCGTGGCCACGCCAGCCACAGCGCACCCTGGGGCAGCTGCGCCAAAGGACGCGCCCAATGCTTCAAGCACCGGGAATGAAATTCGTGACTAACCAGCCTTGCACGCACAACTTGCCAGCACACATAGCAACTGTCACATCACAAGACTCTGTAAGGACGACAGAGATGAACGAGGTCAATCCACCGTGCCACTGTAAGGGCAAACGACCGCGGCCATTTGGCCACACAGCCAGACAACTGCAGAGAAAGATAAAGGGCGCGAGGAGACGGCCCCACACGCAGACACGCACACACGCACACGCACACACACACACACGCACCAAACAAAACATACACCCCTGGGAGTGTACAACTCACGTATGATTCTGCCTTATCGCTCACTCATTACACATGAACTCAGACTCTCCCAAGCAGTCCCTTTTTCGCCCCTCTTCCCGATCCTTGTGAAATAACAGTACGCGCACACGCGATTATCATCACTCGTGCATGTCAAATCATATCGTGCAACAGATGGGGCAAAGTCGACGCGCGCGCGTCGTCACGCGCACGCGCCGACCTGTTTTTCGAACGCGTTTTGTTTCGTATGGTTTCAATGCCGGATATCCCGAACACAGATAACAAACAATTGCTTGCCATTTTCCTACAATCAAAGAATCTGCGCACGGATTCGTGCAGCATCTTTAGAAACAACCGCTCGCTTTCAACGTGGTCATCACATGCGACCAAGCGGGCCTCCTCGCGTGCGCGTGGCGTAATCATTCTAACGCTTTTTCGCGCTAGCTGGGGGGAGGGCGCGATCCGTGTCAATTAATGCCGTGCGGGCGACTCACTCGCATCGGCCGCGCGCGCACGTCGAAATCTCTGCCAACCTTCATCACCAACGCGTGGACACCATCATCGTCATCGGCGTGACCTGCATCGGCGCCGTCATTGGCCTTGCCGTTGTCATCGTTAGCATCACCGCTAGTCACATCGTGTTCGCCTCGGTCGACGTCGCCATGATACCGCACCCGCCCGAGTCAGCGACTCGCACTGAAGTGTCCGCGCGCCAACGCGGCCTGCGAGACGCGCTGGGGAATCCTCAACGGTCAGCGCCACTGCTGCCGCGTCGGTCACGCCAGACTAGCTGGCCGCCTTGCGCGCACCAGCGCGGCCGCGGCGATGCGCCAGCCAGCGCCGAGCAGTCACCACAGTCGCCGCCGCATGCGTTCATGCAGACCGAGTTGCGGGTGGGTGGGTGGGATGGTTGCGCGAGCCGTGGAGTTGACAAGTTCACGGTCTGCAAAACGAATTGCACCAAATTAATAACACTACATTATTGGTTATCCAAAAGTAATCATAATAATGATAATACTAATAGTACTGGTAATAATAATAATGCTAATAATAATATGTATAATACTAATAATACTGATAGTAATATTAATACTAATATTAATAGTAATGCCAACACTAATACTAATACTGATACTGATACTAATAATAATAGTAATAATAATACGAATAATGATAATAATAATATTATTATTTTTTATTAATACTAATAATACTAATAATAATAATAATAATAATAATAATAATAATAATAATATCTGGCGGGGTACGGGGCGGGGGGCCTCTGGCCAGCTGCCTCGACTCGCCATATGGGGACCCCCCCCAGGGCCTCTCCAGACTCCAGAGCCGCTCCGGGGCGTTTCCCGAGCGGCTCTGGACGGACCCTGGTGATGTTTCTGCACCAGGAATGGTTCCCATCTTCGACCCATGTCGCCGAAGCACATGGTAGAGGTTTCGGGAGGCTTCCAACATGGCTCCAGACGCTTCCAGGAGCACTCCCAAGAGAGCCCCGGGAGGCCAAAATTGATGGTTTTCCGACGGTTTTAAAAAGGATTTTGGCCTTCTGTTTTTTTCGGTTGTACGACGCTCCAAGACGGCCCGGGAGATCTCCAGGTCCGCCCCCAAGCAGCCCCAGAGGCCCCCAAGACAAGCCCAAGCGCCCGCAACAGCCCAAGAAGGCTCCCAAACAAGCCCAAGAAGGGCCCAAGAGAGGGACCGCGTACCGAACACCCAGGGCTCCCGTCTCAACAGTGACCCCGGAGGCCCCAGGCAACTCCCAAGAGTCCCCCAAAATGGCTCCAAACGCTTCCAAGAGCACTCCCACGAGGGCCCCAGCAGGCCAAACATTGATGGTTTTACAATAGTTTTGGAAGGGTTTTGGCCTTCCGATCTTTGCGGTTGTCCGACGCTCTTAGGCAGCCCCGAGACCGCCCCCAAACAGCTCCAGAAGCGCCCAAGGCCGCCCGGAGGCGGTCCCGGAGAGCCCAAGGCTGGCCCAAGAAGCGCCCAGGGCAGCCCACGAATGCCCCAAAACAGGCCCGAGAGGTGTCCAAGAGACGGACCGCGTCCGGAAAACCCAGGGCTTCCGCCTCAAGAGAGCCCCAGGAGGCCCCAGGTAGTTCGCAAGAGGCTTCAAAGATGGTTCAAGACGCCTCCAGGAGCACCCCCAAGAGGGTCCCAACAGGCCAGCGTCGTTCATTTTACGCAGGAATTGGAGGATCTTGGCCTTTTTTGTCTTTTCGGATTTCCGACGCACCACTAGGGCCCAGCGCGCCCCAAGGTCCGCCCCCAAACAGCCCTAGGCGGGCCCAGAGAGCCCCAGGGAGCCCGCAAGACCGGCCCTACGCAACCCAAGAGTTCCTCGGCAGGATAGTCCGGGAGGGGCAGCAGAGCGGGGGAGCTTCTGGCGCCCCATGCTCCGGGAACGGTCCTCCGGAACATGGCGTGCGAACGTGAGCGGAGTGCACGCCGCCGTCTTCGTGGTAAGAATCGTCGCGGGCATCGCACCTGAGCGGTGACCTCAACTAGAACCTGAGCGCGCGAGAAGCGCGCGCGATGGTTCTAGTGTGTGTGTATATATATATATATGCATACAGATATGTATATATATATATATATATGTATATATACACGCATAGAAATAATAATATAAAAAACATAGGTTCTACACCCCCCCCGAACTTATCCACTCACCGGGAACCGATGTAAAACGCATATGGTTCTGACCCAGTGTCCATCCTACCCGTGAATTCATACATCCCAGCCAGGCCGGTATCGACATCCCCTCGGTTCCCGGGCAAAAACTAGTATGCGCGCGCATTCGTTCATCAAAAATCATAAGTTTCAAGAACCCCTAGCGAAAAATGCGACGAAGTGCGCACGCGCGCGTCGTCGCACGCGCATGCCGCAATCCTCCAAAAACCTTCGGTTTCGGAAGGATTTCAAAACCGAGTGTCCCAACAACATATAAAAGCACATGTTTTCGCAACACGGGTTTTCAACAAAAACGTGCGCGCTCTTTTGCGAATTCGTATGAAAACCAGAAGTTTTTTCAACATTGTCAAGAACATACTACTAAACGGGCTTCGCGCGCGCATGTCGCAATTTTTCGAACGCCCTTGCCCGCGTGACGTCGCGAGAATCCCTTGCAACAGATATATGACGAAGTGCACACGCGCACGTCGTCGCGCGCGCATGCCGACATCCTTCAGAAACCTTCCGGTTTCGGATTGATTTTAAAATCGAATCCCCCAACAACATGCAAAACTAAAGGTTTCGCAACACTGATTTTCAGCACAAGCGTCGAACCATACATTTTTCAACTTTTTCATAACATGCTACCACGCGGGCTTCGCGCGCGCACGTCGAAATCGTTCGGACGCCCTTGCGCGCGTGCTGGGGTGGCACAGTCCGTGTCAAACAGTACCGTGCGAACCACTCTCGCGCGTTTGCCTCGCGCGCATTTCGAATTCCTTCCAAAACTTCCATCACCGACGCGAAAACGCCGTCATCGTCGTCGGCGTGATCGGCATCGGCGCCGTCATCGCCGGTATCATCATCCTCGTGTTTACAATTGTCGTCACCAACATCTCCACTATCATCGTCATCGTGTCTACAAGTGTCGACGTTGCCATGATACAGCGCCCGCCCAAACCGCCGACTCGCACTCAACTGCCCGGTGGGATGTGCCGAGCGGTCAGCACCACCGCGGCCTCGTCGGTCGCGCCAACATACCTGGCCGATGCGCGCGCGCATGCGCGGGCTGGCGCGGTCGCAGACATGCACCAGCCAGCGCCAAGCACTCATCGCAATCGCCGCCGCATGAGGTTTGCAAGCCAAGTCGCGGGTGGGTGGGTGGGATGTTTGCGCGAGCAGCGGAGCGGACCACTCATCGCGAACAGAAATGAACGGCACCACGCAGGCTGCACCACATAGATAGCACCACATAGATTGCACAACACATATGGTACCACATATACGGCACCACATTCGTTGCACAACGTGCATTGCACCGCGTAGTTGCCACAACATGTGTTGCACCACGTGGACGATTAGAGACGCGTTGGTGGGGGGCCCACGCTGGCCGACGCTTGAGAAATTACAGATTCCAGTCACGCGGCGAATCGCATTGCGCCCCCGAGTCGCTTCTGATTTGTTAAGTTGGCAACGCAGCAAGACAGTCCGTCTAATACCCTTTATTACGCATAATATATTACTTACACTTAACCCTATATCAGTGTGACATGAAAGGGGTTTTATTAGACAGTGGCTTTACAACGGTCACATGTGTATGAGCTCAATGGTATTCCGTGGCGTACCGAGAGCACGGTGACGGTCCTGCAGGCGTGGAGGAGTCGACGAGCGGTTGCTTTTTTTTCAGAGGCGGCCAGGCTCGCGTCAAAAGGGATTTGGCGGCAGTTTGTGGCGTACGGGGGTTTCGCGCCGCCTTGGCGTGGGGGCGATGTTTGCGCGCGCTTTCAAGGCTGAACGCCCTTAGGCCGTCGAGCGACCGATGCATTGGTCTGACCCGCTTAGGCCGCTGCGCGACCGATGCGTTGGTCTGACCCGTTTCAGCTTACTTGGGCGGTGTTTACACATGCGCATCATCGCCTCTTTGGCCCGAGTGGAGCATTTAACGTATTATACTTTTCACGTCCAGCGCCATGTGTGGAGCTGGCGTCCTGGGTACCCAAGCTTGCTGAGGACGCCTGGCGAAAAAACGATGTATGATGAGGCAACTGATTGATCATACGGTTTTGGTGGGGCATGATGCCCACCCGCACTCCGGATGTTTCGCAGTTTTGTGTTTTGCCTTTCCTGCGTTGTCCAATGTATTGTTTTCTCAAGTCTGCAACGTTTGTGAGAAAACGGCTGGTCGAGTTCATAATAGTAATCGTGATTTTGGGTTGTTTCTTCCTCTCCTGCAATGCGGCAGTCACGGGATTGTTCACCAGCCTGAGAGGACCAATTTCCGTTGGTGCAGTTGGTGGCAGGGTGGCTTGCGATCGTGGTCTTCGAACCAGCTGTGTTCCCCTGGAGCCGTCTGTTTCCCACGGCCGCTCCAAGGGTTCAGGGGACCCCGCAGGCAAGCATGGTCTCCGGCACAGGTTTTCTGACATGTACATCGTCGACCGCGCGCGGAGGGATGGTGTTCCCCTCAATGCCTCAAAACTCGGGAGAAACATGAAAGCTTGCATCAGACTCGGAAGCGCGGACGCAGCATTGACCTTGTTCGACCAATTGTTGGAGGAGGGAGCCGCTCCCGATGCACACCACATTGCCAAGCCCGTATCCGACAAGTTCTTCAAGCTTGTCGCAGACAATCTCGGTGCCGAACGTATGCGAGCAGACGGACTGGGGCTCCTTGAGTTAATGCAAGCTCACGGGCTTGCACCGTCGATCGATACCCAGAACCGCTTGGTCGTTGCGTGGAAGAGCAAGCTTCCAGAGAGCGTGTTGAGTTATTTCCATAAGATGAAGAACGCAGGTGTCGAGATCAGCAGAATAGCATACCACTCCATCCTGATGTCGCACGAGAGGTCTGATCCGAGTGCCACCTTGTTGCTGTTCAATGAGATGGACAAGTTAGAAATTAAGCCCGACGGAGTAGCGTACAATGCGGTGATGGGAGCTTGCTGTAAGCTTGGCATGCGCGACGAGGCTGAACAGTTGTTCATGCAGATGGCTGATCGCGCACTAGTACCTGATTCAAAGTCCTATTGCATCATGCTCAAAGTCTATGCGTCTAGTAATCAGCTGACGCGGGCCATGTCCATTTGGGAGACGATGCGGGATCAGCGCTTCGAGCCCGATCGCTACTCCTACCACCACGCAATATGTGCTTGCGTCAACCTGCAGCGTATTGAATACGCAGTGGAATTGTATAAGGACATGCTTCAGGCGAAGTTGCCCCCCTGCGATGGCACACGCGCGTATTTGAGGGCAGCGTGCAACAACTTCGGTTGGAGCTCGAGGGCAATCGAGGTCATGACACATAGCGGAGGCTCTTTGGACGACGAGCGGTCCAGTCAAAGAGCAGGTAGCTGTCTGGTTCCAGTGTGCACGGCTGAAGCCAGGACATCGAATCCCGAGTTCGTGTTCGCGTAGTGTCCAGGACGCGTTCCGAGAAAGCCCCCAATCGACGCAGGGCCGCGTCGTGTCGACCGGCGGCGGCCCAGCCGCGGCGTCAGGAACCGATGCCGAAGTCGGCGCGACACGAGCCTGCCCTAGAACATCATCGTGTCGTTCGTTTCCGTCGGGGGCTGGCAGAAGCGGCGCAGGTTGCATCGCTCTTGAAACGCTTCGCGACCATCGCCACGCCAGCGGAACAGCCGAGGAGGAATCCGCATCGATACGTAGCTCCCCGCAGTTGCGGATGAGAGTGAGGGGGTGGGCGCGGGGAGGGTCTCGGTTGAGTCGCGGGTGGGTCGCGGGTTGGGTCGCAGGGTGGGTCGCGGGGCAGGTCGCGGGTGGGTCGCGGGCGGATCGCGGGCGAGGACGACAACAACAACAACAACAATAACGCCAATCATGTTAATGTTGTTCGTTATTATTGGTTTGCGGCTTGCGCGTCATTCAAGATAATTAACCCTAAACCTCGATATCCGCCCTCTTCGTCTTCGAGTTACCCCCTTGGGGGTATATCTTCCTTAGCTGCCATGTGTAGTTGGCGCAGCCCCTAAAACAGGAGAAGGAAGGGAGGGGGAAGGGGCAAGGAGGAGGGAGAAGGATGGAGCATGAGAAAGATCTGCAGAAGGGGGGTTAGGAGCACGAGTACAAGAGGCAGAATCACACGGGTGGTTCGGGCGCACGGACCCGAAAGCGTAGGTCGGGCGGGCGGGTCTAGACAGCCGGGTCGAGCGGGCGGGTCGCTGAAGCGTCAATCCAAGATGAATCGCAAGAAAGTTTCGAGTGATAGCGCGATTCCGATTTAAATCGTCAGGAGATCCAGAGCGAGAGCGTGAATCCTGAGTGTTGGGGTCACGGCGTCGCAACACATTGCGAGGAGTTGCCACGCGAGAGAGCGCGATTCCTGCATACATTCTGACGAAGTCCCGCGCGAGGGCGCGATGTTGCAGTACATTGTGAGGAAGTATCAGGCGGGAACCGCTGTTGTTGTTGTTGTAGGGGCTAGGGGCGCAGCCTGAGGAGGAGGATGTTCCTTTGTAAGAAACGGGGTACGAGCCCCAGGAGGAGCATTTTGAGGGAAGGAGCACACGGTGCACTTGGCAGGGGGGGATCAACACTAGTTATCATTTAGAAATGAGAACTCAACGCAACAGCAACCCGCACCGCGGAACCACACTTCAGCCACGCACCCAGGGACAGTGACCGACCGTTCGGCCCCATCGCTCTGGTTTTTCGCTCAGGGTGTTTTGGACAGAACAAAATTGCAGAGGAAGCTCAAGATGGGGCCTTACACGGCTCCAAAGCAGCTCCATAGGGCACCAGAGGGCGGTCCTAGAGTGATCTAGGAACGCTATCCCAGCAAAGAACTATATCAGCTGACATTGGGGGGAATGGCGACAGGGATGAAGAGGACCAGGAGGTGGCAGGGAATCAGAAGGCCGGACGTCTTCTGAGAAGCCCCGCCGCCTTCTCCGCCGAAGTAGAATCAGGGTTTTTTGGTAGGGCGACGTCGGATTGTCATACAAGCACCGTGGGTCCGATAGCCCCCATGGAAGACGTGGAGAGGGGGGAGGCCACGAACTTGCTGTCTTGCCCGACGAGGCCACCTGCCTCGTGCAGCTTCCGCCGACCTCGGGATTCCCTCGGGGGGCGCCGCGGGAGACGCGGCAGCAGCACGGCGCCTCCGCCGGGGCGCCGCCGGCGGCGCAGGGAGGACGCAGCGCTCCCGCAGCGCAGGTGCCACCGGCGGGCCCCGAGGCCCCCGCGCTCTCCTCGGGCCGGCACGCGGAGCTCTCAGGTGTTGCGCCCACCAGGAAACAAAACGAGGGCCTCGACAAATTTGTTTTTGCATTTTTTCATGTATTTATTGGTGGCGTCAAACGCGGTCGTCGCCGATCGCTTGCCCTGATTTAGCGATTTCGGTCGACGGAGGCACGCGAATCGCGCGAGTTTCCTTCTCGTAACTGCTTCTGCCGTGTGCCGCGTTTTCATGGCGCACGTGCCGCGCCTTGCCCTTTCAGATTCAATCGCTCGTACTAGTGCGCGGGCCGCACGCAGGCCGCAGTCCACGCGCGCTTGCGCGGCGCACCGCAGCGCGCTTCGAAACGATGTTGGGCACAATGGCATTTTTAGCGCAACGCCGCGAAATTGTTAGCCACCTCGCGCGGGTGATGCCGAACGCACGCGTGTCCCACCGCATGTGCGCCGCCGGAGCTAATTTTCCGATTTCGGTCGTGAATAGTATCGCGGGCGTGTGTCAGGCGCCTTCGACGCGCCATGTAGGCCCGCGCCGTGCGCGCCCACGCATCAGGTCAGAAACATATCATCTTACTACTTCCGCGTAATGCAGCGCGTGCGTTGCAACGCTGTTAGCCAAGGGCGCTGGTGCGTCGCCGAAAACCACAGCCAGGTTCCCTTGGCAGGAGGATTGGCGGGGGGCGCTCATATTCACCACCCTAAGGGGAGCCGCCAATGGTTCTCTCACGGTCCCGTTCGCAGCCGTTTTGTGGGGATGTCTCAAGCGGTGTGCTTGTTTTCTGTCCCAGCATCCTTCGCTCTCGGAGTAGATTTGGAGGATGTCTCGAGCGAGGCGCTCCACTTCACCCCCCCAGGTGGGCCAGATTTTGAGGATGTCTCGATCGGTGGCCAGACTCGTGGGCGCTGGTTTTCCTGGGGATGCCACAGGAGGCTCCAACAGGTTCCAGGAGGCCCGTGGAGACCACATGAGGTCCCAGGATGAATCAGGATGCCACAGAAAGACCCAAGAGGCCACAGGATGCCCCAAGAGGCTCTAGGAGGCCCCAGGAAGCTCCTGGAGGCTTCAGGAAGCCACAGGAGGCCCCAGGAGGCCAGAGGAAGCGCCAGGAGGTCTCCGGAGGGCAACAGGAGGCCCCGAGAGGCCCCAGGAGCAGGAGGCCTCAGAAGGCAACAGGGGTGGTTCCAATCCCATGTGTTTTACGTATGCTCTCATATATTGGGCCTCACCTGGGGCACGAATCCTTGATGTTATACGTATGTTTCTATAGATTGTCCATATCCTGTGTACTTATGTTCCTATAGGGCCTCTCCTAGGGCACGACTCCTTGGTGTTGTACGCGTGTTCCTATAGATTGTCTTTTTTTTTTCTGCGGCTCCAAGTCGCAATGTTTTATGTACGACTGTTGCTATAGATTGGGCCTCTCCTCGGGCACGAATCCTCCCTAGGAGGTCCCAGGAGGCCCCAGGGGGCCCAAAGAGGCTCCTGGAGGCCCCAAGAAGCCCCAGTAGGTCCCCAGGAGGCCCCAGGAGGCCCCAGGAGGACCCAGGGACATGCGCAGAGACGCGCTCGTACTACTGAGGCTCATTCACACTCCAATTGATTCTCAGTTAGATTCATGACCAGACCGTCACAACTGAAACCCGTTTATACTCGAAAGTTTTTGCGCCTAGATTCTCACGGCGGACAGGTCCATGGGAATAAATGCGCATATGGGGAGCCCCACGCAGTGAATATTTGAATCCCCTTAGGGGGGTGACAATGAGCGCCTCGCTCGAGACATCCTCCAAATCTGCTCCGGAAGCGAATGATGTCGGCACAACTAACAGGCAAACCCGCTTGAGACATCCCCACAAAACGGCCGCGAACGGGACCGTGAGATAACCCCTCGGCGGCTCCTTAGGGACGTGAAAATGAGCGCCTCGCTCTAGACATCCTCCAAATCTGCTCCGAAAGCGAAGGATGTTGAAACAGAAAACAGGCAAGCCGCTGGAGACATCCCCACAGAACGGCCGCGAAGGGGACCGTGAGATAACCATTGGCTGCTCCCCTAAGGGGGGTGAAAATTAGCGCCTCGCTCGAGACATCCTCTAAATCAGCTCCGATAGCGAAATATGCTGGGACAGAAAACAAGCAAACCGCTTGAGGCATCCCCACGAAACGACCGCGAACGGGGCGCGCGTGAGTCTCAGCATGAGTAAGTCTGAGTCGGAGCAGGTCTGAGTATGAGTAGGTATGAGTATGAGTAGGTATTTGTGTGTGAATATGTGTCTGAGTTAGTCTGAGTGTGAGTCAGTCTGTATATGAGTAAGTCGGGGCATGAGGAGGAGAGGGCAGGAGAAGAGTGAGAAGGAGTAGGAGGCGTCCACGTAATAACAAAAAACCATCTTAGGATATGGCGAACATGCAAACTGCACCAAACCCTCGATGGGGATTACCCGTCTGACATGCAACGCCATCCGCGCGGGGCGAACATCACGCGGTGATAACGGACTGGGGCCACCGTCGCACTGTAAAATCCAATCCGTGAGCTCCCATCGGGGCATCCAGGCGCGCGGCGTTCCCCCTGCTGACAGCACGCCCTGGAAGAAACAAAAAAAACGAGCACGTCGCATATTTAGAATGAGGGCGGCCCGGCCATACCAATCGTCGCAACTGCTCCCAAATATGCCGCCCCCCCCCCCCCCCCATCGGCCCTATGTCATTCAAACGTCCTCTGCATTGATGCGAACTGCCATGGCGGCGCACGCTGCCCCCAACGACGGCCGACACCGCTGAAGGTGATCATTTTTCATAGAGACAATCACGATGCGACGGCCCATGCGGCCCAAAATGATTCACACCAACCCGAGGACAATCCAAGAGCTCCCAAAAAATACCGCGCGCTGTCAGCGAGGATGCTTTTCGGGCGCCATCAAACTGATCAGACACAAGAAAAAGAAAAGGAACGTCACGCTCTCGCCCTTCTGGGTATTAGAGCGCTCGGCACCACCCGAAGAACCGCCCAAATCGCAGCAAAACGGCCGGAAAGGGCCAGAGGAAATTGAATGCGGCATGACCCCTCCTCTTTGTTATCTTCTACCCCCCGTCACCCCACTTCGCCATCATATTAATCCCCTGCCTCCTCACGTTGCCCCCCTTTTCTCCTGTTATCCTCCTCCTCCTTCTCATCCTCCTTCGCCTTCGTCGTCCTGGTGTTCTCCCACTCCCTCGCCCCCCTCAACCGCCCTCGTTATCCCTCCCCTCCCTTTCCCCGTGTCATCCACGCCTTCCGCCTCATCCTCCTCCTCCTCGCCGCATTGCCCCTTCCCCCCCTCATTCGCGCGCACTTCCCATTCCACGCTCGAGACATCCTCCAAATCTGTTCCGAAAGCGAAGGCTGTTGGAACAGATAACAGGGACACCGCTTGAGACATCCCAACAACACGGCCCCGAACGGGACCGTGAGATAAGCCCTGGCGGTTCCCCCTATGGGGGGTGAGAATGAGCGC